AACGAGATTTTTAATTTTAAAGCTTTTTGATTTGGGAAACAAAAACTTGAATAGATACTTTTGTAATTATCTCAAAAGAAAAACGTGTTAATATAACCATTATTCTTATAAGTATTACTGTAATTTGAATTCACAATACTTATTTCACTAGTTTTTGTCGCATACTGAATATCGTATGAATAATTACCATAAATATCGCTCATTTCAGCACCTTTCATAGCACATTTACCATTTTTAGATATTTCACCTTGAGGACATGAACACGTTCCGTTGACACAAACGTGATTTGCTATACAAGTTTCACCATTAAAACACGGTTCTCCAAATTTAGCAAAAACCATTTGACATCTACCATTTGTAAAAATTTTTCCTGCAGGACAGTGACATCTGTAAATTAGAGTTGTATTCAACGCATAAATGTTAAATCACAAAACACGTACGTGATAAATTAGTAAAGCTGTTAGTAAATAAACAATTATAGTAAATCGACACATAAATAAGGAATCAAAAACAACGCATGCCATAAAACAAGTAACTTTCGCCAAAAAACTATTCATAATTATTTGAATAACTTTCTTAAATTGACTTTATAGTACGTTAAAAAAGTTCTTTATCACTCAATAATTTTATCAAACTTTTTTTTAATTAAAAAAATTGCATACGTATTTGCAATACATTTTGTATCCAATGTACAGTCAATATCAGTAATGCACCGCCTAACTGGTGATAGAAGTACACGTGTGAATAATGGAACGCAAGAAAGACCTTGAAGTTGATGCCCTCCTAAAATCTTAGATCATTAAAAGGTCAAAGGTATGAAAGAAATAAAAACAATATTTTATAAATAATTTACCGTTCTTGATGACAAAAAACAAAACCTGGACATATACAGTAACCACTTTCTGCATCACAGTAAGTGCCTCCCACGCATTGAGAAGATTCTGAACATTCACCAAGAGTGTCTGCAATCAATTTTGAAAATTACATAATTTTATTTTGGATATTCAAAAATTAAACTTGTCAATTTGAACACAGCATTAATATGATTATCATTATTATTGAATGATTAGAACGTAAACGTGCAGGGCTATAAATATAAGAAGTATTTACTTATATTCAAAACAAACTTATTGGATAATCATTTAATTTTAATATTTATAGTAAAGAATGCAGATAAAATTGATCAAAAAATGATAAGCGAAATTAGAGATGATATTTGATAAAGAATTACAGTACTTTGAATCGAAATGCACCGTCCACTGCTCAGGAATGTTTCTTGAGGACATTTACAAATACCTCTGATACACTGTAAATTTCCAATGCACATTTCCTTACTTGTACAATTTTCTTCGGTTAATTCTATAAATTTAAAAAAATTCAAAGAAACTATAATCCTAAATTAAAACTTTAATCTAGACTTATTGAAAATAATTTAAGTTTTAATAAAAAAGGCAAATTTTCAAAAATTTTGCCTTTTTTATCCTTTGAACCACTTTTATCAAAAGTAAATCTTCATTGGTAGTACTTAATCAGTCAGGACTATTTGAAAATTTTTATAAGATTCGAAAGCCACACACGATTGATGCTTGTTTAGACTTCATACATGTACAAATAGTATGAGAAATTAAATTTAAAAAACTGATGCAATATTTGATCAATTTTTTAGCAAAACAAAGAACAAATTTCTGATTTTTCAGGTTTTTTATTTGAAATTTTACAATTAAGTTTGAAAATTCAAACTATTATATTCGTTGCAAATTTTATAAATTTCAAACTTTTAGATAAATTAAAATTTTCTTTCATTCATATATAAATTATTTTTTTACATAATTAACAAACAATTATTTGTTAATAAAAAACAAACTTTTCGGTACAGTAACACATATTCCGCTTTGAACGACCGTACCAATCGGACATTTGCAAATCTAAAAATGAGAATTATTTACACTTAATGTTTATTGAACAATTTATTTGAGTTAGCAGCTTTGAAAAAACTAAAAAGAGCTTTCATATCAATAGCAATAATGATAGCAACAACAACAATAGCAATTATAGTAATAATTATTGTATAATGTCTAATAATAACAATAATAATTGTCATTCATGTTAATAATAATAACAATAATAATAGCAATAATAATGATAATGATAAGGTGATAAAAAAGAGAACCGATTCGATGCAAACAGATCCGTTAGTACAAAATTCTCCCGAAGCACAGCTCATTCCAGGAGAAGCCATCAGCACGTATTTTAAGCATTTTCCGTTCTGAAGCATTTTATTACACAAAATACAAATTGCTCAACTTACTTATCACAACATGTATTTTTAATTCACAGGAGTAATTTTAATAAAAAAAGAAAATGAATGTAGACAGTTCTCAACAACCTTGTCGACTGTTCCACTTGCACACTGACAAATGCCGTTGATACAGTTTGCACTATCAATACAAATCTGATTTGAAGTGCATGCTAATCCAATAGGAATTTTCTGTAGAACTATGCATCGACCAGATTCTAATTTGGTATTTTCAGGACATTTGCACGCTCCAGAAGTACAGTTTGAACTTTGTAAGCAGTGATTAGTACCATCTGGGCACTTGCCATCAGTCATGGCTTTAAATCAATTTTGATATTTTAACTTCGAGAAGTAAATTTATTAATTTACTTTATTACAGTTTCTTATTTTTACAACCTATCTCATAGGTTTCAAATGAATAAGTAACCTTTTGTCTTAATTAAGTTATCAAAGTATTTTATTACGTAGCGTAGAATACTACGCTGCGTAAATTTGCATACAAAACATTTTTTCATGCATGTCAATTAAATTTTTCTGCAATCGACGAAAATCTTAATCATTTATTTTTAATGAATTATCAAAAGTTTTATACACAAAATTAAATACTACCTTTATTAAATACAATTTCTGCAATTTTTTTAACAAAAATTGTTATGGCAAATATAAACAAATTTTATTTTTGCTATTATTGAAGAAAGTTCTTTAATTGTAAAAGAAAACTTTGTAAATTTCTGCTTATTTTTGCAAAAATTTTTAGAATATAAGATCATATGCTAACTGACCTTGTAAACAGGTAAATGCTGCGGCTTGCAGACCATCTGGACATTGACATTTGTTTTGACCTGTACAAAATGCTCCTGGATAAGCTTTTGCACATTGCCTTGAGTCTTCACAACCAATTTGACCCGGATAAATCACTGAAGCAATTCTTAGAGTAAATTTTCTCACAACTTTTTTGTTCATATTTGATTTATTGAAAAAATATCAGTCAATTAAATTTCAAATTAAATTACTTAAAGATTATCTTATTCACAAAAGTTTTAGAACTTTTAGTTCTAATCAAACTTATCTCGCATCTTCTTAGTATTTATTCAAATTTTAAGAATTTTAAGTCAAACTATTTAAAAATTCATCAGTTTACTAAAATTTTAAAGTAACTTTGAAATTTTTTATATTTAAGTAATCTAAAAACAAAACTGACTACACTTTACTTATTCGAAGAAAATTTGCATACTGACTTCAAAGAGTCAATTCAATTCATTTTTAAAACCATATTCAAGTAAATATAGTTTAAAAATAATAGCAAATTTATAGTATACTTATCAAAATTAGCTTAAATAAAATTAATAAAAATTTATATTCGCACTAAAGTTAATTGCCAAATAATAAATTGAGTAAAATTCTTAATTTACCCTAAAGTGAGATTTACTTTGCCCACCTGGTCTACATTTCCCGCCCAGCACAAAATAATTCGACAGACATTCGCATTTTCCACTACTACTTCGGCAGTACTCTCCTTCCTCTTCACATTCTTTCCACGTTTTACACTCCATACTCAAAGTTTTGCCTGATAATATACTTTTATAATTTAAATATTTGAATTAAAAGAATAGAATTAAAATTGTGGTATTTATAGACTTAAATTTATAGCAATTAATCCAAAGAAATCGATAGCAATACTATTATATTATAAATTTAAAATTTTACTAATTTATCATAAAATAGTATTTTCAATACTGAAATTAACTGATAACAGAATAATAATGATCAAAAATTTATAAAATTAAGTAAATAAGTGATTTTAATATTTTTACAAGTATTAATGTAATCGTCTAGCCTTTCCTGAAAACAGTACTTTATTATAAATTGAAATTTTTTAACTTTTTCAAAGTCTTCACTTTTTTAACACAAAGATTTCTGACAAGAAAAATTAATCCTTACTTGGTTTCATAACACATTCATCGTTGACAAGTTCAAAAAACGGAGCGCAAGTGCAAACGTTGTTGGCGCAAAAAGAATTTGGAGATTGACACGTTAAATAACTTATATCTGATCGACAAAATGCGCCAATATCACCAACATTACCACCAATACTTGTTTTTACCGCTAAACTTTGCATAAGTTTTCCAATGAAATTAGTATACTTATTGCAATTTGTTAAACAGAAAAATAAGACTAAATGATATTTATTAATCATTAACAGTATAATCTTCAATTCTTAAATTGATAATATTGTAGGATTAGCTGATTACAACAATAATAAAATGCGCTCGAAAATACTCATTAAAAATTCAAATTACTCATTTTTAATAATTAATGCCGCGAAACTTGTTTATGCAACTGATACTAATGCTTTGGCTAAGTCAATCTATTATTAAGTTAGTTATATTGTAAAACTTATAAACTAATCTTGATTTTCTCTGCTTAAATTTTTTTAAAGTTTTATTAAAATTTAATTTATAAAAATTAGCTAATCACATACTTCAAAGCTAATTACAGTAAAGAAATAAATTTTTGAATACTAACAATTTGCTCTAATTATTGTTAATATATTGTATTATGACTTATTAATGAATACAGTAGTTTGGAGAAAAAAGAACAGATACAAAAATTTATGAACGAAAATCTTTTCCATTTTTATAAAATTTTTAATTTTTATAAATTTTTTTTAATAAATTTTTTTAGATTGAAAATTCTTTCGAAAATTTGTTTTATTTTCATACAATTTTTAATTTTTATAAATTTTTCTTAGATTGATTTATTATAAAAAATGCGTTATCAAGATGATTACTAGAACTGTATTCAAATTATGACTGCTAAAATGTAATACGCAAATAAAATATCTTACCAGTAATAGATAAAAATGCTAGAAACAGCTTGATTTCCATCTGCTGAATTAGGCGAAATATATTTAGTAAAAATAAATAATCTTTTTGAAAATATTAACTAAATAGGTCTGTAACAAAGAAAATTTGTTTTGATGATAAAGT